CATGCCATTTTCGTGCCCCTGGGGGAGGAGGTTCAAATCGTGAACGGTCAGGTGGGGAAACAAAAATTATCACACGGCCGTATGACTGTACAAAGTGATTGTGTGCCTGGTGTCAGTGAACTCTTATGGGATCATATCGATGAAACGTAATATAAGTTTATCAGTTTGCATAAGAACCGAGTTTCTGGCTAATTGCTTGCATCGTAAATTGATATTGGGAGAGGTATGCAAGTATAGGTGGTTATGAAAAATGGGCTGGCATCAAAACTGGTAAGGAGTTGCAGATTTATGGAAGATGCAGGGATGTTAATCAATGGCAAAGATGACGATGACAAACCAATAGCTAAGTTCAAAGACGCTTCCATAAAGAATGCACAACTATTGCACACGCAAACATAAACACACAAATTCAGCCAGAATAGTGTGTGGAATTTAAGACCGAAGTGGAAAACTAACAAGAAGAGCCAGATGTATAATCCGGGGAGGGGGTGAATGAATTATGATTCTTTTCTGATGGAATAAAACGTTAGTTTACAAAAAAAACACTTAATTTTTCATTTTCAATATGAGTAGATGGGTACAGCAAAAGTGTTTGCATGCTTTGTCCATGTCATTTGTGATGACATTATTTCTGTTTTGCTATACAAAATAGCCGAAAGTGGATAACCGCAGTAGAACACGGAACATGAACGGCCAAACCTTGGGACGATTACCCGTTAGACCACAGAAAACTGAATATTGCTATGTATACCATGTTTTGGACCGCACGAAACTGAAATGTTGGTATATATATATATATATATATATATATATATCAGGTCTGAGGCCACACTGTGTCAAACAAATCACGAAACAATAATCTTTATAAAAAAAAGTTCCATGAAACTGCAGACCGCAATACTACCAGCAAGCAGCAAACTTCAAGCTATGCAAATCAGAGTTCAATTGGAGTTCGAGAAACCTTGAACAAATGTGTAACTTAAGGCATAAAGAGGACTGCAAGAATTTTGTGGCAGAGGGAACACTCTCCGCACACCACGGAACGCAGAAGTACAGCGCTATATACCACACTGTCGTTGACAGCCACTTCCCACTATCTACCCAGTCTATTACACCGGGGGTTATTTGTTTCGTACCAAGGAGAATGCAGCTCACCGTAGCAGATTTTTGATACTTTATGAAAATTCCTTTCTAGAGCGGAAATCCACGCTGATGGCGAACAGATTTCGTTAGTTCCGAGGGTGTTCACTTTTGGGCCGCAGCATGGTACCTTGAGTTATTTCCACAACCTGCTGTAGGGGACTCAAGTGTAGTATCATCGGGCCCTTTTGTATAGGCTATTAGTTGTCCGACTTTGATTTTCTCCCGTTCACTCCTACATACATGCTGGTATACGCAGGTTTTTCCATAACAGAAAGCCCTACAGAACAATCTCTGTTTTGTCATCAACAGGCTTGTCAAATGATAATGAAATCCTTGCCATCGCATCAGCCAAACGACTAGTGCTGTTGAATATTTTCCTGATTGGACAGCAACAAAAGCTTTCCGAGGAAAATAGGACGAGATTGGTCAGTCGTGAGCTATCACAGATACGAACTTATGCCGAATTGGAACAAGTGTTACCGAGAGGTCAGGTCGTGGCCGCGACACGATTCCGTATCAAGCAGACAGCTCAGATTCATGTGAAGAAACCGGTTACTGAGGAATTCGAGCATTACCGCAATGTGGTTCAAGAACACGTGAGCCTACTGGATAAGTTGCCAGAACATACAGATGGAAGTTAGGGGGCCGAAAAGTGCAACCTCGCCTCCCGTCGTACTGATAACAACAATGAATCAAATGGGAAGTCGGTGGGGTTTCTTGACAAAAAAGATTCAAAGTGCGCAGTTCAACCATGTGAACGTGAAGATGATTTGTACAAGCCAAATCAATGTTTACAAACAAATATGTAACTAACATTTTCATACACGTGGTGGAGTCATGAATATACGCACGAGTGCGATATGGTTTGTCTGATTTCATTAAATGAAAGTCCCACTTGAGCATATATCGTGTGAGTGAATGAATTAACTTTTAGGAAATTACTTCGTTCCGGTCGTTCAATTTCGAAAGGATTATCTTGTTGGTGTCATGTATGAGTGTGTAGTGCTTAGCACTGAGATGCGTCAAAATGGACTTCAAAACGATGCAACTTCTGAGTTTTATCCGCATTGCCAGCGAAAAAATCAGTTTCATGGAACCAGTCCCCTTTCATAGGTTCATGAAATCAAGAAGCATCATGAGCATGTGTTCGACTAATTCGTGGTTATCTAATTAGCTGTGTACATGCATACAGATCGCGCTTGGTTGGACGAGCGACCGCTTGGGGGACAATATGGAGAGTGATAGTCACAAAACGGAATTCTTATGGGCATAGAGGTAGGGTGTGTTATCAATAAATGGAGGGCAGTCACACTTATCATGGTAGCGCCAGGCTAGGCCTGAATCCGACCTATTTATCTGGATTGGGTTTGTAACATCGAATGGTGGCTGCCTCAGCAAGACTATTTTTCTGACAAACTAGGACGCGGAAAGGGTTCACAGATTTTTCATATTGTTTGTCATCTATCATATGATGAGCGACTAAGCTGGACAGAATCTTGAACCCATTAGACGTCGTCTCGGTTTGTTTTTGTGACCATTGCCCTCCATATTGTTTAATATCATCTCTTCCCCGTGTCCCAAAACCTGTCACTCGTTCAACCAAACGTGATCTGACTGAATGTACAGAACTAGTGAGATAACTACGAAATCGTTGAAGTGAACACAATTTGTGATCATGGTGCTTCTTCTTGTTCTCATGAAAATCAACTTCAGGTCGGCCAACCAATAAAACTGTACCTTCACCTGTTGGATTATTGTTATCAACTCCCCTAGTGCGTACATTGTATTTTTGAGGTGGTATTGCTCTGAATCGCGTCTAATAGCTAACCGTCTGCGTTTGTCCTATTTGGGCGAAATCCAGCGGGGATGGAAGGTTGGCAGTCAATTTTTCGCCGGGGTAAATAGAGAACCTGAACCTGTCACTCTTGTTCGCAAAGTTCAGGTCCGACAAACGAACTTTCACACAAAATGTTTGTACGCAGCTGAAGAGATAACGCGGGACAGTTGAATTCAACCTGTCCTGTGATAATGATTGTTCTTGCTCTTGCCAAATTCTCAAATCGAACTGGATGCATGAAATGAGCACAAATCGCGCTTGCCATGTTCACTGTGCCCGCTTGTTATGATCAGCGTGGACAGTATTTCTTCATCCTTTGGAATAGTTGTCTGATCGCATAGCCGATGTACGTTATATTGACAGAATGATCAGATCACCACGGAAGTGGTCAGCGTAGGCAGGATAACTTTGTGGTGAGACTGTAAACACATATGACTGCAGCTGTGTCTAAGAGACGGTCTCCAATGCACCCATCAAATGTTTATTCAATAAAGCCAGATATTTCATCTCCTTACAATGGTAGATGATTGATTAATTTCGTAGTCCAAACCTTGTAGATAGGTTCGGATAAGGGCCTCTCCCGAAGGTTTTTTCTTGAAAAACCGTTTTTCTGAGAACATCCTTTATTTAGGTAAAATTGTAATTGAATAGCGCACGCTCGGATTCGGACTGAAAACCAACTGAATAGCACAGTCAGGTAGAACCAAGACGAGCTGCCGATAAAGGCAATTCTTTTCACAAAAGCATGTACATAAATATCACAAGCATCAAAAAAATCATTGGCCTATTCTTCGATGCCCAACGACAAAGCACCTTTGGTTGCTTTTTTCGCATTCAGCCGATGCGATTGATTCGACTTGAAACCACAAGATTGGTGGAGAAATCCGTTCCCTGACTGGCCACCCGGAATTTGTATCGTGGTGCGTGCGAAACCTTTGTACGATACCCACACAATTCTTCATCCAACACAATGTAAGAGCAGATTTTGCGTACCCGTGATGTTGGACTTTAAAATAAAATTTATTTTCTTTCGACTTGAAACGAAGCTGTAAAAATTTGTATATTGCCCCATCTATGCTTGTTTTCTGTGCATTCGACATTCCAAAAACCCATCGCCTTTTTGGAGAAGTGCTACATCTAGGAGGGTTAATTTGTTGCTTCTTTCCCAACTGATCCGAGCAGGTTCATGAACCTCATTGAACATGTGTCGTAAAATTGTGGAGTTGCTGTCAATTCAAGTTGAAGTCTATTTGTGTAAGACCAAACTACGTAGACAGTGAGTGTGCACTGCAGTGGCATTTCCTTCCAGTCCTTCGTCAATAGTAGACCAAATGGGAAGCCAAAAAACGGTGGTTAAATAAGGGGTACTAAAGTATGCACTTCTTGGCTGTGCAAACCGAAAGGGAGGCAGTACTCCAAAAAAGATGATCGGATGTGTGGCCTCACATACAAAAAGTACTGGGATATCTAATGGCAGTGTTGCACTGAAGTGGTCTCGAACGAACGGAGTGAACAAGCTTTTTTCCCCAGTCAAGACTGATAGTATTGAATTCACCTTGGGTCGATCATTGATGAGACACGTGTTCAGACCCTTATTGGTAAGTTATGGGGACCGTATTCTATCAGACAACACGGTTCTAACACCTAGAAGCTCAAGTAATGTTTTCAGCCTGATAACCTTGAACAAGCACAACGAGATGGCGACTACGGTAACAGTAACAATCCCAGATTAGTTCTAGCATAAGAGCACATTTAAAATAAGTGCTAATGGCAAAAAAGAAAAATTGCAACTGAGATTCATTTACCCCCAGAGGGAGCATTCAAACGCATAGCAAAAAACGTAGACAACTCCACTCCAGTAAAAAACGGTTTGTGGAATAGGCGTGGGGTACGTTCGTGCGGTAGGAGTGTGCGTGTTAGGGAGCGGGATTTCTTAGCTCGGTAAACGACCTATAATGAGTGTAACGAGCCCGCAAAGAAAGACGTCCGGTTTTTGGATTGCGCATCACAGCTCGGCTTCGTCTGGCACATCGGCCATGAACACTTCACGATTTTCATGAGTCCAAAAGCCTTCGATATCGGTCAGTATATTGACAACCGTATCTCCTTTTCCACTGCAACAAATAGACAGACGGGAAAGGGAACAAATTATTGTGAGTGTAACGCAGATAATTCCAGAATAATGCAGGAGAATCCTAGACATACTAACTGTGGATTTAATTCCAGTTTTTATAACCATTAATCCGGTGCCCCGGTTTCGGCCACTGTTTCATGATTTCCCATTTGGATAAACGAGTAAGGAGAAATTTCGAATTTTCAAATTGGTGTCCGCGTGGAAATACAGAATTCATAAAGACTAAGGTTACAAAGAAATTGATAAGAAGAACAAGTGCTACTGTGGATCAGACGCATCCTTATCACTCCGTATCTGTATCTGTAACCATCGATTGTGACGATTCCGAAGTTCCCATCCAGGAAGTCGAATGCGACCTATGTGAACAAGTATCCTGGTCAGGGTTTTCATACCATCACGCCAGGTCTTAGTTTGGCCACCCTTGGCTTTTTTCCACCAATCACCTGTCTCAGGAAAACAGCGCGTGTCGTGGAAATCTATTTGGTGAAATGTGCAACACATGTTTCACTTTAGTCTCAATTGGTGTAAATACCAACAATGCCGTTTCGTGTAATACGTCCCAAGCAACGTACTATATGGAGGTCGACAATTTCTTCCAGTGGGTGACCGCAGTTACCCTAAACTTTGCTACTAATCTCAACACTGATGGTCCACTTGCCAAACCAGGCTCGTGTAATTCGGTGTAGACAGTGATGTTCGAACAACAACAGTCTATCTTTATCCTGTTCTAGGACTGTCAACTGAGATTTTAAGCTAATGGAAAGTATATAGTATACCACTGCACTCTTAGATCTATATGATCTCGACAGCGTTATCTAATCACCGAATGAGGATAGTGGTTTGAAGACAATTGCGATTGCGAGCTGGGGAGGGAGGAAATAACGACTTAAGCCCAAGGTGGAATAGCCTGGATACCCTCGGGTTAAGCAGAGCTGAATGCTACCAGGCCCGTCCTCGGGTTGTGGATAGGAGGATACCTTCACCAAAGAAGGTTAACTGTGAATAAGTTGTAGCATACCGCAACAAATAAGCGGTCGCGAACAAACAGCGGCTGCATTATCAGGGTGTGGTGGGTTTTAGGTTAGTCGCCTGGCTCCTGCTTAAAAGCCGCATAAGCGCAATGACGGTGTCATGGCAAAGGTCGATGTGACCGGCCTCCTAAAACTGAAGTCACTGACCTCTTCACTTCCGAGGCGAGGGATTATTTCCTGCTGCCTTGCAGTTCGCACTTGGTTGTGGGAAGGCTAAAGGTGCGCCCTCCAAATAAAAAAACACCGTGTGACGCTGGGGGCCTCTCGTACCAAACTCCCAATGAACTGCATGATCATGTTTGGAGCCGACTTATCCTTTCCAAGGAACAGTAAAAACGAGTGGGATTGGACGGGGACGTGCAATCGGCGCAATGCCTAAGCACGCCGGGTTCAACATCGCAGAGGAGTCGTGGATACACATGTAATCAATATGGGAACGCCATTTAACTTTTGGATGTTCTTGTGCTCCTTGCTTTCTCAGTGGGTCGAAGACCGGAGGATTTGTGGATTTGCACCGACATAGATCGTTTATTAGGGACAGTCTAGTGTAGACCAGTTAGTACTTCGCAAACCAAAAGCGAAGGTGGCTTATTTGAGAAATAGTTTTCTAACACATCTCGTATGCAGGTTTTACTGAGATCCGGCACTGGATTGCTTTAGAGTGCGTAGATTACATTGAAAGAACCTGTCAAAAAGAAGGGGGGGGAGATTTTTCGATATTCATGTATTCTTTATTGTTTGGCTAACAGAAATATTCACGCACGGGAATGGAGTTTTATTTTTTTGTTTCACTTCCTTAATAATTATATTCGTTCTCATCATTTACCCTCGGTTTTGGAATGTATACTATAGTTAGACCTAGTTCATCATCAACACCTTCAATCAAATGAGGTTCATCGTTCACATTTGATAGCAACAGTCTAGGCTGGAGCAAATGGGGCGACATAGCCAATGTAAATGGCGAATAAACGAATACAAAGCCGAAGACAGAACTAAATTTTCCTGTGACAAATGTGTTGCATCATGGTACAACCGGACTGGCAAGGTTTCAATAAATTCGAAGACTTACACGCAAAATTCGTACGGTATTGCTTATGACATTTGTTGAAACCCAGTATCCCGAAACGTTTTCGCACTCAAACAAGCACGCAGGCACAAGAAAATAATTTCCACCAGACTCACCAGCGCAGCAGATCATCCAACGTAATGTACTGCGGATTGGCCGGACCGACCATATCGAAAATCTCATCCTGGATGTCATTGAAACAGGGTGGATTATGTCCGGCAATACGTAGCCGTTGTTCCACGGCCATATAGAAATGGCGCAAGGTCAATCCGGTTAGGCGACCTCGACCGCCCATGTCTAGAATGCGAAATAGATAAGCCAACGCTTGCGGTGTCTGTTTGTTCTCCATGGCTAACACGAAATCCAAATAAGCCTTGTAGTCCTGCGACAAATCAGGGGTGACCGGGGTTGTGCAGCAGCAGAAATGACAACAAATATGAGAAACATTTCAAATTGTTTCGATTTTCGGGATCACACACACTTAGAACTTTTAGAAACGAGTATGAATGCGTGACCAAGACCAAAATACTTCAACCTGTAGTACGTGCCAGTCAGACAAGACCTCGCGAAATATCACGTGGCTTTGAGCAACGTCAATTCACCTAGGGTGGATGATAGCTCACGAACATATGTTAGACCGGCACACACGAACGAGTAATGTATTTTGATCTCGGCAATTTGTACCTTTCTTTGGACAATACGTTTGATAACCCGTGAGTTGGAAATGGATAGTTCGTTGCAACTCGTTCTATAAGACTCATCGAAAGGTGTTGGACGAGAAGCTTCATTTCCTATCATTAGTAGGTAGTAAAATGAGGAAAGCCAACGTTACCAATGGGATTTAGTGAAGGAAGCTGGAAAGCTTGTATTAGCCACCACAACCACACATTCAGAGAGTTGTAACAAGATCAACATACAAATGATGGACGATGGTAAAGTAAGTGACATCAATATGGACGAACATCAATAGTATCCATGTATATCGAAATTGAAGAATAGAAGAGGTTTCCCAGGTAAAGGACTTCACTTATATATTACATATTGGGAGTGTGAAGGGTATCTGATAAGGGTAGCATCCTCGGGCTGGTAGACTGTCGTCTCTTTGATCTTCATCAATCACTGAACTCTCATTTGTGGCTCAAAGAAGCTGAGGCATGCAATAGAGACCACACACTGGAGGTAAGCTAAACCACGTTGAAAGCGAGGTTAATGAAAACATCGGAGAGACTGTGTACGGCATGCAACGGGACTAGCCCTTTAGTGACCAGACGAGAACTACTACTTGACCCAGTGGCTTTAAAGGAAATTAATCCAACTAACAGTTCAGGTCTTACAACCATTAACCATGCACTTTCGTGCGCCGGTTTCGGTTGCTGTCTTTAGGCTGTCCATCTAGATAAAACAGAAGAATGAAGATTGGAATATCAAGAGCAAATTCAAGCGAAAGATAGCGAATTTTTATGGACTGAAGTTACAAGAATAATGAGTAGATGCACGCGCGCCACACAGCCATATCACACAGTATCTCTATCGGTGAACATCATCTCGGGGTCGCCAGCCAGGGAGCCTTACGGGACCTATGTGACCCGGTCTCCTGGTTAGGGTTTTCATACCCTCATGCCAGGTTTTAGTTTAACCTCCCTTAATTTTTTTCCAATCGCTACCTGCCTCGGCAAACATCGCTCGCCGTGACATGCGTAGCACATGTCCCAACCTGCGTAATCTATGAAGGTCGATTACTTATTCCAGTGGACGACCGCAATTACCTAAAACTCTACGACCAACCTCAGCATTGCTCGTCCGGTTACCCCATCAGACTCATGCAATGTGACGTAGACAGCGGTGTTCGAATACCGACAATCAATTTTTATCACGTTCCCGTAATGGTTAAGTCTCTGCACCGTAGAGCAGCACTGGCCGAATTGCTGCAGCATGTACTCGACCGGTCGGTTGTGTCCCCGAAACACGCGTACAAGACCCCACTTTGATCAACACCCTGCATTCTTCTAGCGCAACCTCATTCCCTCACTCCATTCTTCGTGTGTCAGGTGATTCGGCATCTCACGCTCTCAGTGTTACTGGTGTTGGGATCGCGCTGAGTGTTAAGGCCGAGCGTTCACTTCTCGACTGGGTCGCGGTTAGCAGCCGACTTTGCGCTGTATGTCTGGATGGTTCAGTACCGGTCAACAGCTACAGAACGAAGAGTCGATATTTATTCGTCGTATCTGCCTATGCACCAACTGATTGCAGTATGCCAGAAGTGAAAGATGAATTCTACAAGGACCTCTCTTAACTGTTCCAAAGTTCTCGGTCAACGGATATCGTGATACTCGCTGGAGACTTCAATGCTCAAGTAGGATCCNGGATCCTTGAACGAATCAGAAAGGCTACTTGGTGGCTCACATGCAATCCCAGCTAACCGGACTGACAAAGGAGAGCGCCTACTCCAACAACATGTGCAAAATCAGAGCTTTTTCTCAGTCAAGCAAGTCATTACAAGACATCTATCACGAACAATGATCAAACTACAGTCACAACTCACCATCTCACCCTCAAAGGTGATGCATTCCTGGAACACACGGTCCAAGAAAGCTTCAGTTAACGTTCCATTGCCAAAACTGAATAAGACGGGAAATAAAATAAATGCAAAGTAGGATACAGGAATGAAGGATGTATTACGATTGTCGAGTGAAGGTTTTCTGTACACGGTACAAAGTCTAAATTTTTATTGATTCCAGGCAACGAATACAATTCTACTACACAAATACCAGAAAAGCGAACTGTGTTGAGAGCAGGATCGTGCTGTAAGTACCAGACGAGTGATCATCTCCATTTAGTATGAATAAATGTGACATCTTTAGAAAACTGTAACTATGCTTATTACTTACTATAAAACACGGCTGACATATTTTCAATAACTTCACTCTGACGTTATATTTCAGTGGGAGAGCAGAAGCCGAGCTTTTAGATTGGATCTCAGTCGACAGTTGTGTGCTGTGAGGCTTGAAGGTTCGTTCCCACTGGAAAACGAAATCTGCCTGTTGCCTCAGGGCACACACAGACTGAATGTAGCCCAGATACCGTTCAAGATACCTTCTACCGAAAACTACACAAACCCTAGTAAAAAGCCAGTCAGGCCGATATCGTGATCTTACCACGAGATGTGAATGATAGGACCGCACTATGCTACTGCTTATTGAGAAATCGAGTACCCGAGAGGTACGAGTCGATCATCAAAGCCTTGTAGGTATGTGGCAAGTCAGCCCGGAACCTGTATGGAAGTCCTGACTTGGTGGGAGGATTTCGATTGGGGTTAACAGGTTGTACCTGTGTCTCCTTTGTTGCAGTCGGGCAAATGAACTGGCTGACTATCACTGAGGATAACACCTGAACAAACATGAATTGGCAATTTGGTTCAGCCATGGCATGAGCTGGTTGGCGCAGTGGTAACGCACATGCCTTCCATGCGATGGGTTCGGAGTTCAAAGCCCGGACGGGACGGTGGATATGCACTAATGATGAGCTCTATTAAGAGCGAAACTCGAGTCTAGTGCTCCTGAGTTGATGGTTGAATCGATGGACTGAGGGTTGTGCGTGAAGGTGAATTCCGAAGGATAGTCAATCAAATCAATCAACATCAATTATCCTGCATACACTACTCACAAGGTACTGTGGGTTAAATACGAAGAGTTGTATTACCATA